GTGAGGTGAACTTCTTGTAGGCAGCATATACCTGGGTCTTTTTTGGGATATAGTTTAAAAAATCCAGTTAGCCACTCTATGTCTTTTTATTGAAGAATTTAATCCACTTACATGAAGACAATTATTGACAGTTAAAGACTTACCATTGACATTTTGTTAAATATTTTCTGGTTGTTTTGTAGGTTTTTTTGTTTGTTTCTTTGTCTCTTGCTGTTTTGATTGGTGACTTGATATTTTCTGTGGTAGTATGCTTTTCTTTCTTTCTCTTTATCCTTTGTTGGTTTACTATAGGTTTTTTGTCTTGTGGTTACTGTGAGGTTTATCTAAAACATTTTATAGTTATAACTGGCTATTTTAAGCTGATAACAACTTAAATTTCAATCCTCGTTAATGTACTTCATATATTAGTGACATAACCATGCCATATGAGTGATAGCAAAAAAACCAGAAATGTATTACAGAAAGGTGGCTAAGAGGCAAGGCCATATTAAAGTGAAGAAATAAAAATAGACATAGCTGAGAAATGAAGATGAAGATGATACACAGAACAGAAAGAACAGTGATGGCATAGAAATATTTTAGTGTGTAAATTTTGAAAGAGCCTCATATTCATGACCTGACCTTCTAAGAATTCTTAAACCAAGATAAGATGGCAAGCCGTGAGCCTCTCTGGTTTTCTGGAATGAACAAGATAATTGGCCATAGGTGAAAAAAAGAAAGATTAATCTACCCATGAGGATTTTACAATATGCCCTTTTCAGCTCTTACTGGTTTGATGAAAAGGCAACTGGCATGACAAATTTGTGATAAATAGAAGTCATCAGGTTTTCCCAGTGGCCTGCCATGATCATATAGTGGTTAGTGCTTTGCACTCTGGCTACAGCATCTGTGGGAATCTGAATATGACAGTCTCAAATCTATTGCTTTTTTTTTAAATCCAAGAAGCTAATTCTAAGGCTTTAACGGGGAGCTAGGTTTTGTGTTATTTAGAAGATGTGTAAAGAAAACCTTCTTCGACTCCTTTCTAGGCACTGATTATCAAACCAGACAAGAATGAGAAAGCATGAGTTTCTACAGTCCATCATTCTTCACCTTCCCTTTCTTTCCATCTCCACTTGCAGCAGTATCTGCAGTTGCATTTAAAAATGAGGAGCTATCCAGCTGCCTTACTCAAAGGTATTTGCAAAGTCTCAGAAGCATAAAACAACAGTTTTGAAAGTGAATTAACAATGATTTTGTTTTTTGAGAATGAGAATTGAATTCCAGGAGTAAACCTGGAAGACAGGCCAGCTTTCCTCATGAAGAGCTTTAAATGTCAAGAAAAAATATTTAAGCACTGTAAGCAAAGTTTGCTGGTAAATGAATTTAGGATAGACTGTAGCTGAATTTGCATTTCAATACCATTCCAGTAGGGCACAGAGTTGAGAGTTGAGTGCAAAGATCGTAAGGAAGGTCAGGGTATTACCATACTGGTATAAGCAGAGAAAGGATGCATCTTTAATAGGGCAGGGCAATGGAGTTCGACCCCTTCCTTCATTCAAAAATCTTTATGTGGGGACGTATGGCATGCCTCTGGGCTCTGGGGACACTGAGTGCCTATCTGAGAATTCAGCCACTGAATGGTTGCTAGATTGCATTGACCCATGTGTCATGAGTATGAGGTTCTTTAAAAATGTAATCTCATGTGGGATTACATGGAAGATTCCAAGGAACCACTGTTTCTCTACATGTAGAAATAGCATTCTGGGCCGGGCGCAGTGGCTCAAGCCTGTAATCCCAGCACTTTGGGAGGCCGAGGTGGGTGGATCACGAGGTCAAGAGATCGAGACCATCCTGGCCAACATGGTG